CTGGATGTGCAAGTAACAGCAGAAATGGTCTTATCTTACGATAGCGTAAACTGTTGAAGGCATGACTTTCTTATCAGAAACACGATTGTACAGTCAAAGGCAAAATTAATGCGACACACAGGAATCACTGTTAAGCTTGTATTGCTGTGAATGAAATGCTATTACATGGAAAGACAAATGTTTCTAGGCATGGTAACGATAAACAGTTGGTTCACAAGCAAGTTCACGCGGTCAGTAGCGAGTGTGTCTATCTTGGCACTGACACAGGCCTGGTACTTTCGCGTCACTGAGGGGATCTTGCGGGCCACGGTAACACATTAACCTATTTTTCTGACTTCTGCTCTTGGTAAGACTGCATGAAAATGACAAGTCTGGTTGCCTGGTCATTTCAAATCAACATGGCTGCCCATAATGCTCGACCAGGCATACCGGTCAATGCAACTTTCGTACAATTCGACGAACTGCTTGGTTTTGGTTCTTCGACCATTTTAACTTCCTGGGTTACAGCCGGCGTCCAGAAGGTGGTCATCTCCTACTTTTACACGTGATGCTCGCATCAAGCCAAGAACAGCATGTGTAATATGTCTCGAATGGCTTATGTAAAATGAGAGTATCATCAGAAGTCCCACCTGGAGTCACACATTCAGTTAAACCTTGTATCATGTCAAAACCCATGAATGCCCTCAGACGAAACAAATACCAATATGGCTTGAGAGTGGACGGTTTACCCTTCTTAAGCCGGGCACCTCAATAGTCAGCATGTTTTTTGAAGGTCCACACACATCAACAGGCAATTACTGGGGGTCTGTCATTCGTTTGACTAGGTAAGTGAGTGAGCGAGTATGAGGTGGGTGGGTGAGTGCGTGTGTGAGTCAGTGTGAGGTGGGTGTTGTGGGTGAGTACGTGAGTGAGGGCGTGAGTGAGTGAGTATTTATAATTAGTTCATGGTAGCTGTCAGCTTAAAGTGGGAGGACATCGCGATGGTGAAGCACATAAACATGGATAAGATGTTGCCAAACCCAGAAACAGAGGCGAATTATCAGCTTATTTGTGGTTGTCATCTCGAGAGTTATGACTAGAAGCAAGGGTCAGTTGTAAGTTGCCCTCTTTCATGTGTTGAGCCCCTCAGTTGCTTCGCACGAGTTGTAGAAGCCAACCTTTGACATATTCAAGTTGTATCCGTGACGTTTTCGTTTCTAAAGGAAGCATGTCAAACTCGTCTGACTGGATGTGCAAGTAACAGCAGAAATGGTCTTATCTTACGATAGCGTAAACTGTTGAAGGCATGACTTTCTTTATCAGAAACACGATTGTACAGTCAAAGGCAAAATTAATGCGACACACAGGAATCACTGTTGCTTGTATTGCTGTGAATGAAATGCTATTACATGGAAAGACAAATGTTTCTAGGCATGGTAACGATAAACAGTTGGTTCACAAGCAAGTTCACGCGGTCAGTAGCGAGTGTGTCTATCTTGGCACTGACACAGGCCTGGTACTTTCGCGTCATTGAGGGATCTTGCGGGCCACGGTAACACATTAACCTTATTTTTCTGACTTCTGCTCTTGGTAAGACTGCATGAAAATGACAAGTCTGGTTGCCTGGTCATTTCAAATCAACATGGCTGCCCATAATGCTCGACCAGGCATACCGGTCAATGCAACTTTCGTACAATCTGACGAACTGCTTGGTTTTGGTTCTTCGACCATTTTAACTTCCTGGGTTACAGCCGGCGTCCAGAAGGTGGTCATCTCCTACTTTTACACGTGATGCTCGCATCAAGCCAAGAACAGCATGTGTAATATGTCTCGAATGGCTTATGTAAAATGAGAGTATCATCAGAAGTCCCACCTGGAGTCACACATTCAGTTAAACCTTGTATCATGTCAAAACCCATGAATGCCCTCAGACGAAACAAATACCAATATGGCTTGAGAGTGGACGGTTTACCCTTCTTAAGCCGGGCACCTCAATAGTCAGCATGTTTTTTGAAGGTCCACACACATCAACAGGCAATTACTGGGGGTCTGTCATTCGTTTGACTAGGTAAGTGAGTGAGCGAGTATGAGGTGGGTGGGTGAGTGCGTGTGTGAGTCAGTGTGAGGTGGGTGTTGTGGGTGAGTACGTGAGTGAGGGCGTGAGTGAGTGAGTATTTATAATTAGTTCATGGTAGCTGTCAGCTTAAAGTGGGAGGACATCGCGATGGTGAAGCACATAAACATGGATAAGATGTTGCCAAACCCAGAAACAGAGGCGAATTATCAGCTTATTTGTGGTTGTCATCTCGAGAGTTATGACTAGAAGCAAGGGTCAGTTGTAAGTTGCCCTCTTTCATGTGTTGAGCCCTCAGTTGCTTCGCACGAGTTGTAGAAGCCAATCCTTTGACATATTCAAGTTGTATCCGTGACGTTTTCGTTTCTAAAGGAAGCATGTCAAACTCGTCTGACTGGATGTGCAAGTAACAGCAGAAATGGTCTTATCTTACGATAGCGTAAACTGTTGAAGGCATGACTTTCTTATCAGAAACACGATTGTACAGTCAAAGGCAAAATTAATGCGACACACAGGAATCACTGTTAAGCTTGTATTGCTGTGAATGAAATGCTATTACATGGAAAGACAAATGTTTCTAGGCATGGTAACGATAAACAGTTGGTTCACAAGCAAGTTCACGCGGTCAGTAGCGAGTGTGTCTATCTTGGCACTGACACAGGCCTGGTACTTTCGCGTCATTGAGGGGATCTTGCGGGCCACGGTAACACATTAACCTTATTTTTCTGACTTCTGCTCTTGGTAAGACTGCATGAAAATGACAAGTCTGGTTGCCTGGTCATTTCAAATCAACATGGCTGCCCATAATGCTCGACCAGGCATACCGGTCAATGCAACTTTCGTACAATTCGACGAACTGCTTGGTTTTGGTTCTTCGACCATTTTAACTTCCTGGGTTACAGCCGGCGTCCAGAAGGTGGTCATCTCCTACTTTTACACGTGATGCTCGCATCAAGCCAAGAACAGCATGTGTAATATGTCTCGAATGGCTTATGTAAAATGAGAGTATCATCAGAAGTCCCACCTGGAGTCACACATTCAGTTAAACCTTGTATCATGTCAAAACCCATGAATGCCCTCAGACGAAACAAATACCAATATGGCTTGAGAGTGGACGGTTTACCCTTCTTAAGCCGGGCACCTCAATAGTCAGCATGTTTTTTGAAGGCCCACACACATCAACAGGCAATTACTGAGGGTCTGTCATTCGTTTGACTAGGTAAGTGAGTGAGCGAGTATGAGGTGGGTGGGTGAGTGCGTGTGTGAGTCAGTGTGAGGTGGGTGTTGTGGGTGAGTACGTGAGTGAGGGCGTGAGTGAGTGAGTATTTATAATTAGTTCATGGTAGCTGTCAGCTTAAAGTTGGAGGACATCGCGATGGTGAGCCCATAAACATGGATAAGATGTTGCCAAACCCAGAAACAGAGGCGAATTATCAGCTTATTTGTGGTTGTCATCTCGAGAGTTATGACTAGAAGCAAGGGTCAGTTGTAAGTTGCCCTCTTTCATGTGTTGAGCCCACAGTTGCTTCGCACGAGTTGTAGAAGCCAATCCTTTGACATATTCAAGTTGTATCCGTGACGTTTTCGTTTCTAAAGGAAGCATGTCAAACTCGTCTGACTGGATGTGCAAGTAACAGCAGAAATGGTCTTATCTTACGATAGCGTAAACTGTTGAAGGCATGACTTTCTTATCAGAAACACGCTTTAAAAATGCGTGTGGGAGATTCAACATACCGCAAGGCATAATCAAGAGAAGTAGCTTGGCCTACAGAACCTTACGTTATCCCATGGTCAGTTGTCGCACTGCTAAATTCTTTCATTAGGTTTATTATGATATTATATTTTTATTACGTTCATGTCCCGTGTATGATTCCATATTTCAATATAACGTTTCACACGTCTTACATTATGAACCGAACGAGGGTCACATGCGTGCTTAACATAAATAGGGGTGAACTTACAAACTGTACGTTGTCTCCAAATCTGAATCTGAATAGTCTTATGGTTTGGTGTCAGTTGTGATTTGATTAGGCTTTTGTTATTAGCATGTGCGTCAAACAAACAAACAAACAAGTCTGTACGGCATCCTCGCAAAAGTGACTGAGTGAAATGTGTTTAACGCCGCTTTGGACACTGTCCGGGTTAAATCACGGTGTGTCAACTTAATCTAGGACCAAAACCCCAAGTGATGCATGTCACAGATGTATGGAGGTTATATGGCGCCGGTCTGTAAATAATCGAGCCTGGACAAGACAATCAAGTGATCAACAGCATGAACATCGATCTACGAAATTGCAATACGATGACATGTGTCAACCAAGTCAGCGAGCCTGACCACCTGATCCCATTAGTCGCCTCTTACGACAAGCATGGGTTGCTGATGATCAATTCTAACCCGGATCTTCACGAGTCCCGTGCCGAATGGAGCACAGCACTGCGAAAACCGAGCCAGTTGAGGCACCTTCGATGATTTGGTCTTCCGTTACCCTCTGCAAGCATTGTCTGTATACTAGATGCACTGAAATTCCAGTCATCATACAAAATGAGCTCTCTTCTTTGCGAACAACCTTTTCTTTTCTTATGAATGTGGAAAAGGTTTTGTCGCTTCTATTTATAAGAACAGTGTTAGTCCGATTTACCAAAATGCCTGAGCCTTGTCTCCTTAAACCAAACTCACCCAGAACACCGGCTGTTGATTTGGGAGTTGATGTGTGGAAAATGCTCATTTCTAATTGATCAATTAGAGGTTTCAAATCACAACAACAACCTCTGATCATAACAATCATTTAGACGGATCATCATCACAGACGCGAATACTAAATTCTTGTTGGTAAGAATTTAGAAATCATGAAATTTAGTTCAGAAGCACTAAATTTACAAGTAATGTGTTTTGTATTATTTATGATCGTAGAATTTTGTTGAATTAGCGTTTTTCATTTCAGGACACCCTGATGTCGTCACATCCAATGCCCGTCTTGGTAGGTTGCAGAATGTAGCAGTTAGGACATTGCGTATCTTTAACAGAAACTGGTGGTCATACCGAAAATAACTAACTGTACTCTGGCAAAGCGACTGTGAGCAAATGATGTTTTGCCTTGACACCAGTCTGTAAAAAATCGATTCTGGACCAGACAAACCGGTGATTGACGAGCATCGACCTAGCACAATCTGAGCAAACGGGACACTTTCAGTTTCTTAAATCAAGTCAGTAAGCCTGGCCACCCTATCCCGTTTGTTGCATCTTACGACAAGCAATGGTTACTCAAGACTGACTGACTGAGTTTAGTGTTACGCCGCTTTTAGCAATATTCCAGCAATATCACGGCGGGAGACACCAGAAATGGGTTTCACACATTGTGCCCATGTGGGGAATCGAACCCGGGTCTTCGGCGTGACGAGCCAACGCTTTAACCACTAGGCTACCCCACCGCCCGGTTACGCAAGACCAATTGTGACCTGCATAAGACCGGGTCCGAACTGTTTGAATTACATACAAATGGTCTATAAAATACGGATGATAACACCTCATTTACATTTGTTTCAAAATTTAATGAATACCGTTAGAAACATTTGAAGGAGAACATTAGAGATTTCTTAATGCTTTATGAATAATATATGTTTCTTTGTAGATATTGCGCTATTTCCACTGAATTTTAACATCGTCGTAAGGGGCAAGTTTAATCCCGATTTGGGTAACAAATCAAGCGCCATGTACCAAAGCTACAGCCAGGAGTTGTTATCAAAGGTAAGCTCATGGCACCTTTTACTGCAAGTAACATCATATCAAGGTGTATCAGCTAAATGTTATATACTCAGAAAAAAAAGTTAAGGACCAATTTTCAATGTTCAAGTAGTTTATAGTTCATATTATGATCCATATAATACTTAAATATTGAATATTGGGGTGGTATTTAAATGTTTTTGTTGATTACACAATAAGTGTGAAATATGTATATGTTCATACAATATCATTTATCAAATACAGTTATTTATATTTATAATCTACGCAACAGTGGTCGTAACGGTGCCGTACTGAGATAGGTTCGGATGTTAAAGGACTCGAGATCGGGTTTTGAGAATGTGACCTCTGTCGCAAGTGGGGCCGAGTCGAAACGTATTTGAAAGATAAAAAAGTGTGTGTTTGTCAAACGGGAAAGCGTGAGTGAGTGAGTTTAGTTTTACGCCGCTTTAAGCAATATCCCAGCAACATCACGAAGGGGGACACCAGAAATGGGCTTCACACATTGTACCCATGTCGGGAATCGAACCCGGGTCTTCGACGAGAAGCGCGAACGCTTTAACCACTAGGCTACACCATCCGGGATGATGTATTTTATTAATACCATTTTCCCTTCCAGTTAAACAGTGTGCAAAAGAGGAATCCTGGATGCATGTATGTGGAAATTGCGGGATTTAGGTAAGTGAAATATTCAGATGCCACGGTAGTAATAATTATCTGGTATCAAAACAAGCTTTCCACCATGCTATTGTTCCAGCGTTCATATGAATACAGGTTGGAGAGTACATACTTAAGCGAACGTTCAACTCGTGTGGTTCCAACGAGCAAAGATTACTGTGAATGCGCAAACGTCAAACGTAACGTGGTCGACATGACATGGCTGTACAATATATAATTTAATGTTTAATAAAAATCGGCATTACAAAGCGCACGTCCAAGGCGCTAACACATTATGTGCCCGGATAACCTAAACTGCCTGTGAGGCGCTAGAGGGTTAACAGTCATATGACACATCCCACTGGGTACCCATGCACTGCTGGGTAATCAGAGGCAATTTATGAACCATTTATTAATGGTAAACAAATCAATTGGATCATGACAGGGACGCGGTAAGTCACCAAAGCAAGCCTAACCTGTTGACCCGAACTGTTATTGTCATGAGATGGTGAATACAAAACCAAAAAGTACTGACTATCAGAACCAGGAAACTACTCTCTTCTACAGAAATGGAAGCATTATTTGCGACTACCGGTGCTTCGTGCGGGCAACTGATAGTCGTCATGACATCAAGAGCTTTTTCGAAAAGAACGTCTCCGCAACTTTCGATAACATGACGTTCAACGGCAAGCATCTGAAAAAGAAGTTCTTGAAGTCGAACGACGTCACTGAAGGTAACTATGATAATAAATATATACTTGAGTAGAAGCGCCACCCACATTTTAGTTTGTGCATTGTTTAACGCCGTACCCATCAATCTTCCATTTATATGACTGTAAATTATCGAGTCTGGACAAGACAAACCAATGATTAATATCATGAGCATCGATCACAGAAACTGGGATAAGACAACATGCTTCAACCAAGTCGGCAGTTACTCGCCTCTTCTGATAAGCATTGGTAGGTGGAGACCAATCCTGGCCTGGATCCTCACGGGTCTGAAATGACAAGTACGAAAAACATACATGTTGCTGTATGTGTGAATAGCAAGTTCAACGTAGAATGGTAGTGTAACATATTTTACAATGCTGAAAGCGCAGCAGAAATTGAAAATTGGTGACAATTGACGTGCAATCCCAGAGGAATACGCAAAAGCCGTGACTATCAACTATGCCAAAAACTGATTCTCAAATAGTAATTGTTATGCCTGCGTGAACTGAGGACCATATCAGTGTAACTGCCCCTATATATATACCAGTGTCTTCCTCAAACCGGGATCGAGTGCTGAAATCTCGACATCGGAATTCTCCGCCATTCCCCATGGAGCGTCTGTGTCAATCCCTGCCGATTCCTGGATCTCTAGCGTGAATGTAGCGTCGAAGACGGTCCCAAAGATGTTAGATGAGGTTCAGGTCGGGACTCCACATTGTCCCGTGGCCTTGTTCTGCAAATGGGCAATAGCTGCTCGAGAACGTGAGATATGGCGTTGTCCTCTGTGGTTATCAGACAGTGAAAAGGGGATGGTTATCAAAATGTGGCACGACGGCGGTATCCAATACTTCGCGTTGATAAGGGTCCAGCTGCATGGTGCATATCCTGGTGATGTGTTCGTCCTGTCTCCATACGCGACAACGGCCGTCAGTAACGTGTAGAACGTTTTCAACAGAGCAGGAACCCTATGCAAGGTCCTTAATTAGGTAGCAGTTTTCCCGAACCCTGCCCAACGCTTTTCCTATCATTTTTTTCGTTGAGGAAGGGACGTCTGATCAGGCGACGTTCCCTAAGCCCAAAAAACCAAAGGTTTATCCTGGTGGTAGTGGTTAAGAGTCGAGATCCAACTCGCCGGCGTAGTTCTTCGGCATTAGTCATAGTATCTCGTCTTGCCAGGCGACTTAGGTCATCTCGGTCTTCCTCAGTTGTTGCTTTAAATGGGGATAGAAAACGCCAGTATCATGTATAGTGGCATTGTATGGCATTTCAGGTCTTTTCATGTTGTTATGTGTAGAGTTTTGGGGGGATCACGCCACTTTATTCGGTATGAGATGTACCAAGCTGTTGGGTAAGTGGGAGTGCTATCGGTGACGGAATCACAGCCGTATGACCACAAACATTAATATATTAAACCAGGAACTGTTAGTTCGCCTGTAATAAAGGCGAATGTGGGATTTGGACCCTCGATCATTTGATTCTGAATTCCAAGGGACATAACTCTGTACATCGAACTGCTGAGCGTGTGACAACAGGTGCCTTACAATAGAGACAATGGCCAGATAAAAATTATATGTTATAGTATGATTATACTATACTCTTATCTGTTGGAGAGTATGGACATAGTTTGCAATTAATTTCAGCCTTAAAGATGATGGACAACATGTGCAACGCTATTGGGGTGTGTGCTCCCGGTTTACAATGTTCGGGCGGCTCATCTCCACAAACCATTCGGTGTCAATCGCCATGTACGAAGGACTACTGCACAAACGGCCGATGTTTTGTTGACTCGAACAACGAACCCAAATGCAGGTAGGTGTGTTCAGAATATACATACTCGCCGATTTGTATGTATTTGCAACATTAATGGAGGGTTTTCATTGTGATTTCTTCTTTGAGTGGCATTATTTAGAAGTTGGAGAGTAATACATGGACAGACTTTATGGATGAACAACTTCTTTATTCAGGTGATGAGACGTTTCGATACAGATTCTTGTATCGTTTTCAGGTAAGTATGACTCATACATGCTTGACAGCGATACAAGAATCTGGATCGAAACGTTACATCACCTGAATAAAGAAGTTATTTATCCATAAAGTTTGTCCGTATAATTATTATGATTATCATCCATCCATCATTCCAGCAGTAGGATATTGACGTCAGAATAACAGTAACAATCACAAAGTGGCTCAAATGTTCCTCGACTTTTAACTCAAAGCGAACATTGAACCCATGCCAATGACATTATATGAACTACTATAAGTTTATTTGTTGTCTATTTGTTACCAGCTGCTACAATTCAACAACATTCGTCTACTCTGGAGACAGATGCCAAATGAAATCCGAACAGTTTGCCATGAGCAAGCATGACATAATTGCAGTAGCGGCTGGAGTAGCAAGTGCGCTTCTCCTGCTGCTGGCAATAGCTTTAGTCTGTATATGTCTGGCCTGGAGGAAGCGGAGGAAGAGAAACAAGGATGAAAAGTAAGTGCTGCGACGGTGCTAACAGACCCGTGAAGATTAGACCCGAGTTAGAATTGGTCTTGGGCTTCAGCAACCCATGCGGGGACTAACGGATCGGTGGTCCGTCTCGCTGACTTGGCTGACACATGTCATCTTATTCCAATTGCGTAGATCGATGCTCATAATATCGATCACCAGGTTATCTGGTCCAGACTTATTACAGACCACCGCCATATAGCTGGAATATTGCTGAGCGCGGCGTTAAACAACAACCAAAATCAAAACGGTGCTGACAATGCTTAAATAGACCTAGAATTGTTCACGCAAAGTGTACTTCAATCGCACACTGCACTAGCATCTCAGCATTTAATGAAGATGGATAGCACCAATGATAGAACAGTGTAATGTTCTTGTCATTGTATTATAGCTAAGCAGCTCTATTTCTACACCATAGAAAATGAGGAACTCAAGCTACGGCAATTATCCAAAATGTGTAAAACCATTATGTTACTATCTAACACAAACAACACGTTTCACAACAGAATATTGTACTCTGATATCTGTTGTTGATGCATATGTATACGTGTATATTAAGATGTGTATTATATAAATGCTGTGAGTTTAAAGTCACATCGTCAATATTTCAGCCATATTGTGACTACAAACGTTGTCCATTAAAAAAAGCCAACTTAGATGGTTCAGTTTAGTCATACTGTAGACGCATGGGTGTGTTTGAGGACCGATGTCATCAGTGTGCGAAATAGTCACTGGCCCGCTAGCCCGTCGCTAGTAAAATCAATTCGGGCAAAATGGCTAGTGAATTTTTATGGTGTCAGTTTGTAAATAAATCACTCTCTCCGACTTGCTATAATACACTTTTAAATCATACAAGATTATGACCTTATAAAATGTTTATCATATTAGCAGCTTCATGAAGAAGTTTTCTTATTTGTTGTTGATGGTATTGTAGCTGTTTGTAATCCTTGGCGTAGTTTCCACATTACAATTTCGGGCTAGTGAATTATTTTGTGGGCTAGTAACCTTCAGGCAAAATTTGGAAAATTTCGCACACTGGATGCCACTCATGTAAGAAGCGGGCCGTATATTGGAAGTTTGTAAGATTCAGTGGGAATTCCCAATAAAAGTCGTTCCCAGCCAAACACTTCGGGTAGTAAGGGTCTGAGATTTGACTGATTGCCTGTCTGTATGAACGATGACGAATTTAAAGAAGATCATATTTTGATGATGCTGACCATTCAGAAATCAAAGTTGTGAAAGAATTCCTTTACACATTCTTTACACGTTTCCGATTAACATAATAAATATGCTCTTGATCTAAATTAGGTTTGTCAATTTAGACTGGGAACACGGTCGAACACATGTGACCTGACCAAATCCCATGCGTGGCATTTATCAATCACTACCGTACTGCACAAAGTACAGGTCTACGGCCTGCGTGACATCCGGCTTTCCTCTTAAGCAGATACACAATTTAACGTACATTTGAATACGACAACGGCTACTCATGTCAGTGTACAATGTATTGATTAATATGCAAATCAGTATTTCCTGACAAAATACTGAGGAGATACTTAAATATTCATCTTCAGGGAATCGGAACAGGGAACGATGGATGAGGAAGTAAGCGATGGTGACGGCAGTATTGGAAGCATGGATACGGACCCTGCCTACGTTTTTAGTAAGTTTTGTAATAAATCCTGGCCTTTCTTAGAAAATACTGTTCATGAGAGTAAGACTTCGTGCATGTATAGATAGGTATGTACGTCATAAGATAGCTAGGTACAACAGAGGTCATACAGATACGCACATGTATCAAAGATAGCTATGTATAACAGATAGGTACATACAGATACGTACATGAATCAAAGATAACTATGTATGACATAGAAATGTACATATAGATAGGTGGTGTGAGGTTCTGTACATAGATCTCAGGTCACAAATCAGTTGAAGCTAAGCAACGTTGGGCACGGAGAGTCCCTGGATGGGTGACCGTGATTGTCAGCTTGACTCCTGAGAGTTTCTAGGAAGAGTTTTCTTGCCCCACAACGAAGCACAGGTGGTCTCACCTTAGGCAAGTGAGTTTGTTCAAAATTGCCTCTGTTTACCCAGCAGAAAATGGGTACCCGGTGTGATACGTCATGTGACTATAACCTTCTAGCGCCTCACAGGCAGCTTGGGTTTTCGGGGTAATAATGACCTGTGATGTATATACGCTTAGAGCATGTCCCTCGGATGTGGGTGAGGCGCTATAAAAGTAGTCTTATTATCCTTATTATAATATTTTTTTTATTATGTTAACAACTGCATGATTGAGATAGATTCGCAGACTGTATAGGTCGAGTAGCAGAAGAAACTAGTCTGATTTGCTCATATGTCTAATTTGTAAAAAGGTAGAGATATTCTTACAAACCTTATGAAATTTTCATAAATAAACCATAAAATTAGGTATACGTCCTCCAACAGCCCCCCCCACACACACACACACACACCACCGCACACAAAAAAATTTATGTGAAGCTGTTTTGGAGGTTTTAATGACAATTTTCAAAATATTTGAAAATTTCCTATAATTACGAGTATTCTAATATTTTTTAGAATTTGACATTCAAGACGACCAGTACGGATTCTTATCCTCTCCTTCTTTACAGCACAACGTACATCAATGACCAATAACTGCACCGGAACTGAAATCAGGGTATTTATTCATGTTCCAGGTCAGGGAGGAATTGCGAAGCGATACAGTGCAGTGAGCTTGGACTACTCTCTCCCCGGAGTCATCAGTCCGACATCCCAGCCAAGCCTGCTACAGAGCGACTACAGAGGAGTTTCTGTATACACACACATCAACACAGAACCTGATGTAAGGGAATCAAAAATTAGGGAGGGACTATCATGATATTCGGGTGGGGTGGGGATGGGACGGTGTGTCACAACTGGACGGAAATAGGTTTCCGTGCATATTTTAACCACTTATCCGATTGGTTTCTTTTTCTGTAGATGAATAGGGCAATCCAAATATAAATAAATACATAAATAAATAAATAAAAAAAACACACCCAAAAACAGCAACAACTCCTTCCCCCCAAAACAGAAAAAAACCCAAAAAACCCTATAACAAATGAAAACAAAATACGGGGAATAACAAACATTACTGCCTGTAGCCTTAATTTGATATGATCTTTCAGATGAGACTATAGTCTCCATACAATATCACCAGCAGTTCACTTGTTGTACTGTTCGGCTAACATCAAAACATATACTAGTACTCGTCTGTTTGATCACAAAGAACTTCTATATATATTATAGAGAGTACATACCTTGGCAAAAACATTCGTTTCTTTTATTTCATGAAATATATTTTCCACCTAAGGGGGCGGGAAGCGGTATTGTGGCTGATAACCAACTACTTCAAAGAGGGGTAACTCTATAATAATATTTGTAAACACCCCCCCCCCCACCCCACAAAAAACCCAACCAATTTGATATTATACGAGCGCCACAATCAAATTACTACAACTCACAACCGCCACTACTGTTAATATAACAAGATCTCTACCTCTCAACACCTAAAGGATGAGAGTATGGATAAGAGTGAATCAAATATACAGGAATCGTACTTCGTTGCTTTCTTATGTTGCTTGTTCTTTCCTTTACAGTTTGCCATAAAAAGACCAGAAGTACGCTGAATTGTTCACGGTGCGTTGGAAGTTTATATTTACTGTTGAGCGAACTTTAATGGTGTATTGGTGTTTGTAAAATAATTAATTATATTTGACACCACCTGGAATCAAAGAACATATGTAAACGCGTACGCAACTGAAACGCATTATGACTTGACACTGGAGTTATTGCAATACTTACAGTCCGTTTGATTTCATTTGAGGCCGATGAATTGCTCACTAACACAAAAACTAATAAGTGGGACAAAACCAAATTTTGCACAGTCTCATGAAATCGACAAACCAACTGTCTCATAATGTTGGACCCCCGAATAAAAACGTTGCTTAACAAACAATCAATGACATTATTTTTTGTCACTTGCTGGGGACCATTTGCTGGTAGAATAGCCAGGTGTCCGAGTTGCACGTGTGAAATCGAAAGTTCACTTCACACGCTTGCTGATTACACTAGTAAACATAGCAAAAAGTGACAACAAATCATTATCGTTTTCACAGTCTACGGATTAATGGTAATGAGACTTCTATAAATGGTGTTCCTAACTGTCCTCGTCAGACAAGGCTTTGCGGGAGAACGAAGTGCTGTTGTGGTCTCATGGTCGAAGAGTTCGCGAGTCACGCTGAACGCTCGCGTTCCACTCTAAATGTGTACCATGTGTGGAGCCCATTTCTGATAGGCCGTGATATTGCTGAGGTCAGAACCCATGGTGTTTCACTTGGTGTTTATAAAACGTCTATGCCAGAGGAACAATCAGTAAGGTAACCCCAAAACAGATTCCTTTATGTATTAAAGGCCATGGCTGGATCATTGAAAATGAGCGTTTCACGAGGAGAGACACTTCCGAAACTCACACATATTGAAAAGAAACGTGTTTGTTTCTTGCCTCCGCCCAGCACCAGGGGTTCGGGATGGAACAACAGGAGACAGTATTCCGGTTAAATGTACATGTTAGAAATTTAGTTGAGTTAATACATCATAAGTGTATTCACCTACTTTGTTATATCTTTCAGGATGGTAAACTTTCATATTATGATGTTTACTGAGGGCTGGTTTCGGAACAAGAGCTTGATACGATCATCATTTGTTCAACGCATCAACATCATCTTATATATCTGCCGAAAGCGATTCCGTTGTGAGTTCACTGCAAAACGGAGAGATGAAGATGACATAGATCGAGAGGCAAAGAGGCAAATAGAGGTGAAGATTATAGAGATCACTGACAATCACTGTTACTGACAAAAGCCAAAGCAACCCTGGCAAGCCAAGCCAAGTACCATTGATTCTTGAACATTAGTCATTTGTATTTGTCTACAGATGTTTCACTGACGTTAATGAGACTCGAATGCAATGGGAATATTCCCCAAAGGGAGAATATGCACGAATAGGCTTCCATGCTTCCAGCTTCCATGATTCATAACACTAAACCAGATTTGTTCATCTGCTAGCTCAGACAATGTTATGTCGAATACGGAATGACAACCCATTATTGGTGTACCTTGCTTCAGTTTCCCAAAGGTACAGCGACCAGATTAGCATAAACAATTGACAACATAGTACAGTGCCAAAATGAATGTATGTGTATTTATTGTCGGGGTAACTTTGTCAGTTTACATCATCAGAGAAATAAAGCATTGTGTAATATTTACCAAGACTAGCCTAGTTTTATTTCACAAGTATTTGCTTTAAGTTGGCAAGTAAAGATTATATAATATCAGAAAAGTGAGTGGAAAAGGAAAGATACAAGGAAGTGAATGCAAGGAAACGAATACAAGTGAACGTATATATGAAGTAAATGCAAGGGAGAGAAGATGGTTTCAAGGGAACGGAGTGGATACAACGGAGATGATACAAGGGAGTGGATACAAGAAGATACAAGAAGAAGATACAAGGGAGAGGATACAACAGAGAAGATAAAATCGAGTTGATACAAAGTTAGAAGATACAAGGAGAATATACTAAAAGAATATATTTAAAGATACAAGGGTGAGGATACAATAGAGAAGATACAAGGAATTGGATACAAAGTGAGAACATACAATGGAGAATATGCAATAAAAAATTACAATGGAGAGAATTCAATAGAGAAGATACAAGGAAGTGGATACAAAGTTAGAGGATACAATGAGAATATGCAATGGATACAAAATAAACAAAAGAAATAAGGGAGTGAATGCGATGGAGACGATACAAGGGAGAGGATACATGGAAGTGGATACAACGGAACGGATACAGCTGAGTAGTTTAAGGTGTAGCGCATCAAACATATGCACGTTATTTTTATCATTACGGTTATTAGTCAATCTTCAGAACCTACTGCACTTCACTAGAAAATACGTGAGTCTCTGTGTTAGACTCCAGTGTTCTTTTGTGCCTACTGTCTCTTCCTTATCTAAAGCCCTTTGGGGACAAAGTATGATAAAGGGACCCAACACAATAATACCTGAATAGGGATTAAAAGCAATACCACCACTCAGACGCCATGTGACGAGTATTCCTTGGTGCTTTCTCTCAAAGCATGCTTAGACGAACAGTCTTCTTTATATGTCGCTTCTGTTCTGACAAAGCATTGGGATATAATACCATCCAATTGAAATAAGAAAAATGTCATTGAAATATTCAAAAGGAAAGCATATCTGTCTTACCAAACAAATCAACTACCACATGGCCGGGATCAGTGTCAATTGTGTGCACATGTTGTGTCTGAGCGTCCATGTACACAACACACTTTGGTTCAGTGTTACTGAATACATTCCCGTCACAGTTGGGACGTGCATTCCACAGCTCCAAACACGCCACTTGTGAATGTCTGTGTTCTATTATCGTCTATACCAGTCAGCATGTTCTAACTCTATTCACGTAGTCTACACTGTGCATGTGGAGTTAAGTTGCAAGTTATGGTGCAATATGGCGGCTATACTTACTGACATAATTGCAAATATATGAGTTGGCTGGTTGGATTTTGTTTAACGTCAGCGAAATGGCGGCGGTTAGTAAATAATCGTCTGGGCCAGACTATCCAGTGATCAACTGCATGGATATCAGGTCTTTGAATGGCATTAAGGAGTGATGCACATTAGGAAGAGACAATTTATGGATGTCAACTTAATTATTACGAGGAACACAACGTTTCGGGAGTATATCCTTCCTCCTTCATCGCGTGAATGAGTATCGATCTACACAACTGGGATACAATAACATGTGTCAATCAAGTCAGCGAGCCTGACCACGTGCACCCCTTACCGTTAGTCGCTTCTTGGCATGGGTTGCTGAAGACAAGTATAATTCGGTGAAACAAAATAGAGAATTACGAAAGAGATAGGAAAATGTTAAAGTACTCGCCGTTTCCTAACAGGGCAAAATAATGAATTACGGACATATTAAATTACATACATACATACATACATACACACACACACACACACATACACACACACACACACACACACACACACACACACACACACAACACACACACACACATTGTCACACACACCACACACACATACAACTCACACACACACACACACACACACACATCCTTACAGCCGGTTGGACTGGAACGCATAGTCACAGTACTTTGTCCAAGTTTACTGCACGTTGCTGTACCCGCAACTAGGTGTTTGCACGTATTCATGTGGCCACCATCTGGTCATCTACCAACGGATTCGTGGGTTCTTTTAAGTGCACAAGGTTGTGTACTGTACACTAGGGGTTGTGAGAAGACTGAAAGAATCTGCACACAAAGTTGACTCCAAGGTTTTTTTACACCCGGTCACAGGTGGGCTCGATCCCGTCACCTTAAGCTCGCTGGATCACTAGCCTGGCGCTTTAGCCAGCTCGCCCAACACGCCCCCTTTGTCTGAAATAATCATGCAGGGTTGGTGTTTTAATTGAATAACATGTAAAGAATGTCATTTTAACATAACCAACTTGATTTAGATATAAAATGACCATCTACCTTTTTCTGTATTTGGACATTCGAAGGTGGATTGACAAGTCCTAAAGTTTACGTAGAAAGAATTTGCCTAATAGTGAAAAGTGTTTACTGACATTGCATGACACAGATGACTATCCACCAAAGCTCTAGCCAATTGAGCAAGTTGTTTGGTTGTGACAAATAGGCAAAATAGACGGAATCAAAGCCTTTGGGAAATGGTCCAACTCGAGGTGATTGTGTGGGACTTCTTTGTTATTCAATACACAACCTGTAATGATGGTTGACCCGTGAAGATCCGGGGTAGAAAAGGTCTTCAGCAACCCATGCTTGCTGTAAAAGGCGACTATGCTTGTCGTAAGAGGCGACTAACGGGATCGGGTGGCCAGGCTCGCTGACTTGGTTGACACATTTCATCGGTTCCCAATTGCGCAGATCGATGCTCATGCTGTTGATTACTGGATTGTCTGGTCCAGACTCGATTATTTACAGACCGCCGCCATATAGCTGGAATATTGCTGAGTGCGGCGTAAAACTAAACTCACTCACTCACTCACTCACTGTAATGATGGTGATGTGAAATGCACTGATTTGGTATTACCCGATTCTATATTCTGGAATCTTTTGTTCAAAATGCGAGCATAAATGCCACAGTTACAGTTCATAACAACAAACCAAAAGATTCAATTTAAAACGTCCTGTTGTGATGAATGCATTATGAATACAGGAATTGATTCCAACCCAGCTGTGGACACAATATTTACACTTATTGAGGTAACGAATCTGGTGCTACCTATATCCTCAAACGTGTTTGTGAAAAACTCAGAATCATATTAAGTGGACACAGAAAAAAATAACCAATTATTAAACATTCTACATAATGATTTATTAAAGCACTAATCACAAAACCACAAATAATAAGGCGACGAAAAATGTTCTTTAGAGATTCAAATAATACATTGTTTAGAAATGTAACTACGTTTGTTTTATAGAGAATAGTAGTTCTCAATGCACTGAAATATGTCAGGAACTGTGTGTGAAATACAATATACCATAATCACAACAAGGAGGAGCAAAGATAAAGTGACAGAGACAGTACTACCTAGGGCACTGAAGCCTATGCTCATTGGATATTGGATGATACATTTAAGTCAATATAGGATGAAGCAATGAGCCCAATGAGCCCCTTTCACAAGGCATATCCATAGATATCGACAGATATGAATTCCATGTGTCCTGAAGTAAGACGTCCCTTTCACAAGGCATATCCATAGATATCGACAGACATGAATCCCATGTGTCCTCAGGTAAGACATCCATTTCACAAGGCATATCCATAGATATCGACAAACATGAATCCCATGTGTCCTGAAGTAAGACGTCCCTTTCACAAGGCATATCCATAGATATCGACAGATATGAATTCCATGTGTCCTGAAGTAAGACGTCCCTTTCACAAGGCATATCTATAGATATCGACAGACATGAATCCCATGTGTCCTCAGGTAAGACATCCCTTTCACAAGGCATATCCATAGATATCGACAGACATGAATCCCATGTGTCCTGAAGAAAGACGTCCCTTTCACAAGGCATATCTATAGATATCGACAGACATGAATCCCATGTGTCCTCAGGTAAGACATCCATTTCACAAGGCATATCCATAGGTATCGACAGACATGAATTTCATGTATCCTGAAGTAAGACATCCCTTTCACAAGGCATATCCATAGATATTGACAAACATGAATTCCACGTATCCGTGCCTGAGAGCACGTGACCAGCTTGACAAAGATGATTTATGTAAACGCAAACAGTAAGAACACATTACCGTAGACAAAGCGTGCGAAATAACGGAATTTTGTCTTTGCTGTATTTCCATGAAAAGTTACATCAATCCCATTCCTGGTAAATATCACATTGTGGAAAATCCACACGCAGTACACAGTCCTATATCTTTCGTATCATGCAATAAATCTACTTAAGGTGATCAAATGATCAAGAAGGGTTTGATCCCCTATTCCGCGCCTGAACTCTGAAGCAAGCCAATAACCTCTTTGTGTCCATATTCGATTGCCAGCATCAACGCTGATTTCCCATCTTGTCTGAGCTCGTTGATGTCGACAATGTCATTTGAGAGCAAACATTCCACCATTTTCACATGTCCTCCAATACAAGCAACCTGGAGGATGTTATTACCATCATAGTCTCTTAAAGAAAGAGATGCCCCTTTACACACAAGGAGATAAAACACTGACTTGTGTCCAGCTTTGGCTGCCAACATCACAGGTGTTTGACCATGCTCACCTTTGGTCTCTATGTAGTTTTGGATATAGTCCCGTGAGAGGATATACTTGACCATGTCAAAATGTCCTGCAACACAGGCAACATGAAGGATCGTGTTGCCAGCATCATCTTCAAGTGACACATCTGCCCCTCCCATGACCAGTAAGTCAAATACATCCCTGTGCCCATTCTCTGCAGCAAACATAAGAGGTGTCCTGCTTCGGTTCCCTCTGATATTGATGTCCATTTTCCTTGAAAGAAGATACTTTACAATCGCCACGTCCCCGCCAGTACAAGCCACATGCAGGATGTTGTTGAAGTCTTTATCCACATGTATGAAATCAGGAGTTTGGATCTGCCGTAAGTAATCAAACACCTGTCGATGCTGCTTCTCTGCAGCCAGCATCAGGGCTAATCTATCATTCTTTGGAGTGCAATCAATATCCACGAAGCCATGTTCCAAGATGTATTTTACCATACTTTCATTTCCCCCAAGGCATGCTGCGTGAAAATGTTGTTCCCCAACTTGTCCTGTGCGGACAAATTCGCGCCTTTGGCAACAAGAAGGTCAAACGTCCCTATGTGACCACCTTCTGCAGCAGCCATCAATGAGGTCCTCTTCTTCATCCCTCTGCTGTGGACACTGATATTCCCTTGTGAGAGGATATTCTTCATAGTGCCAAAGATCATATACTTCAAGATGTCCTCGTTACCTCCAAGACATGCCATGTGTAGAATATTTTCATGATTATCATCCAGGAGCAGTAAATCTACTCCTTCGTCCACAAGTAAACGGAACACTTTCTTTTGACCATTTGCTGCTGCAAGCATCACCGGTGTCCGTCCCATTCTGCCTCTACTGTTGATGCCAGCGATGTTTTCTGAGATGAGATACTTCACCATTGTCACATTATCTCTGTGACAGGCAATGTGCAGGACGTTTGAACCATGGTCATCAACCAGAGACTCGTCTCCTCCTCTTCTGCTTATTTCTTTAAACACTTCCACGTTTCCTCCCCATGCTGCTTTCATCAGGGGTGTCCTCTCGTACCTTCCTCGTCCATTAATGTCGGCAATGTCTTTTGAGAGGATATATCGTGTAATTGCTACACTTCCACCTAAACAGGCCAGATGAAGGATGTTGTCTCCGTGATCACTAACTAGTGTCAGATCACATTTTCCCTTGAGCAGGTTAAATATATGTTCGTGTCCTTTTTGGGCCGCTAACATGATTGGTGTTCTTCCCCATTTGCCTCTCTTGTTGAATTCCACTGGATCCTGGATGAGGACTCGCTTCACCACATCCACGTTGCCTCCGATGCAGGCATAATGAAGGGTGTCGTTTCCATCCGCATCACTAAGGGATACATCACCTCCAGTGTACAGAAGCGATATCAGACCAGCCAAATTACCAGCTGCAGCCGCTTCCATCAGAGGTGTCATTCCGCCATTTCCCATGACGTTTATGTCAGCTTCATTCCGTGACAATGCCTCATGTGCATGGTCCATCATCTCTTCTTTACAGGAAGTGTGAATGGTGGTATCGGATCTATTTCCACTGTGAGGAGCTTGGTTCTGCGACATGGCTTCAGGTGGAATGTCTGTTTTCCCTTCTGTACAGGAAGTGTGAATGGTGGTATCGGATCTATTTCCACTGTGAGTAGCTTGGTTCTGCGACATGGCTTCAGGTGGAATGTCTATTTTCCCTTCTGTACAGGAAGTGTGAATGGTGGTATCGGATCTATTTCCACTGTGAGTAGCTTGGTTCTGCGACATGGCTTCAGGTGGAATGTCTATTTTCCCTTCTGTACAGGCAGTGTGAATGGTGGTATCGGATCTATTTCCACTGTGAGTAGCTTGGTTCTGCGACATGGCTTCAGGTGGAAAGTCTATCTTCCCCTTCTGTACAGGCAGTGTGAATGGTGGTATCGGATCTATTTCCACTGTGAGTAGCTTGGTTCTGCGACATGGCTTCAGGTGGAAAGTCTATCTTCCCTTCTGTACAGGCAGTGTGAATGGTGGTATCGGATCTATTTCCACTGTGAGTAGCTTGGTTCTGCGACATGGCTTCAGGTGGAATGTCTATTTTCCCTTCTGTACAGGCAGTGTGAATGGTGGTATCGGATCTATTTCCACTGTGAGTAGCTTGGTTCTGCGACATGGCTTCAGGTGGAATGTCTATTTTCCCTTCTGTACAGGAAGTGTGAATGGTGGTATCGGATCCATTTCCACTGTGAGTAGCTTGGTTCTGCGACATGGCTTCAGGTGGAATGTCTATTTTCCCTTCTGTACAGGCAGTGTGAATGGTGGTATCGGATCTATTTCCACTGTGAGTAGCTTGGTTCTGCGACATGGCTTCAGGTGGAATGTCTATTTTCCCTTCTGTACAGGAAGTGTGAATGGTGGTATCGGATCTATTTCCACTGTGAGTAGCTTGGTTCTGCGACATGGCTTCAGGTGGAATGTCTATTTTCCCTTCTGTACAGGAAGTGTGAATGGTGGTATCGGATCCATTTCCACTGTGAGTAGCTTGGTTCTGCGACATGGCTTCAGGTGGAATGTCTATTTTCCCTTCTGTACAGGCAGTGTGAATGGTGGTATCGGATATATTTCCACTGTGAGTAGCTTGGTTCTGCGACATGGCTTCAGGTGGAATGTCTATTTTCCCTTCTGTACAGGCAGTGTGAATGGTGGTATCGGATCTATTTCCACTGTGAGTAGCTTGGTTCTGCGACATGGCTTCAGGTGGAATGTCTATTTTCCCTTCTGTACAGGAAGTGTGAATGGTGGTATCGGATCTATTTCTACTGTGAGTAGCTTGGTTCTGCGACATGGCTTCAGGTGGAATGTCTATTTTCCCTTCTGTACAGGAAGTGTGAATGGTGGTATCGGATCCATTTCCACTGTGAGTAGCTTGGTTCTGCGACATGGAAGTGTGAATGGTGGTATCGGATCTATTTCCACTGTGAGTAGCTTGGTTCTGCGACATGGCTTCAGGTGGAATGTCCATTTTCCCTCCTGTAAAGGCAGTTTGAATGGTGGTATCGGATCTATTTCCACTGTGAGTAGCTTGGTTCTGCGACATGGCTTCAGGTGGAATGTCCATTTTCCCTTCTGTACAGGAAGTGTGAAGGCTGTTGTCTAACTCAGTGGACATAGTTGGCCAAGATGTTTGGTCTGTATCTGCTTGGAAGTCATTCTGCGACTCAAAAGAAATAGGGGTAGCTCTGGATGTTGTGCTATTCGTGTCGGTTGCTGAAATATATGGTACAGTGGATACAGAACATTTGGTTGTCGAGACACAATTGTTCGTAAAATACACTGTGTAAATTTTAAGGTTTTATCCATCTAAAATTTTGGATTTGACTAAATTCAACTTACAATTAAATTATAGTAATATTTTCAATGTTCGTAAAATACACTGTGTAAATTTTTAAGGTTTTATCCATCTAAAATTTTGGATTTGACTAAATTCAATTTACAATTAAATTATAGTAATATTTTCAATGTTCGTAAAATACACTGTGTAAATTTTAAGGTTTTATCCATCTAAAATTTTGGATTTGACTAAATTCAACTTACAATTAAATTATAGTAATGTTTTCAATTTATACGCATGATTACTGATGCTCACGTTCCACTTTCATTGCATATAAGACGGCTGGAGTGACAGACACGCGAACAACTGTTACAATGCTATGTGTTGCTTGTTTTGACTGTGTCGACTGACAAACTCACCACCATGGTCCTCGCCAGTATCCATCGTGTTTTCGTTTCTGTCCCGATACTGCAGCAGTCTATGACACAGAGAGATGACTTCAGTACATGACGAGTGAATGTGTTAACTATTAACTGCACAACAGCAACAGCCATGTGAAATATATTCTTCTTCGTCTTTTAACGTGTTACTCATCAAAATTCCACATAAATTGGGCCAGAAAACTCACTGATGGACAGCATGAATAAAGATGTACCCAAAGATGTATACTATCACACGCATCATCCAGACCAGCGAGTCTAACTATCCGATCACGTTAGTCGCCCCTAGGATGGGTTGCCGAAGACCAACTTAAAACAACAATGTCAACAGCGGATATCATGTGAACTGCCACGTTATCTATACACACATTAAAATGCAATGGGCATGAATAATTGTCTCATATCATTGCAAAACGATTGCTCCAGATCTTAAATGACGACCAAAACACATACATGTATATAGCTTTTTGGGGGTTCAATTACTGAAGTTTAAAATGAATATTTAATGGAATAAATATGTTTGTAGTGTAGCAAGGCATATATTTGACACATTGACAACTTCACACATATTTAGTATTGCATGGCATAACATATTCAGTTGAAAGTGGTCAAAGCGAGAAGCACCAGAACCTTACCTCTGAGAAGCGGATTCTCCACTGTCCTTCTAACAGTCTCAGCAAATCACAAGCTCTACAGATGACACGTGACACACTGAATCGTGAACGTCAAGCTCGGGCCGCTGTCATGCTTTTGTAAATACACAGACATTCTATTGTCGCTTGTATGTACAGGCTGTGGTATCATTAGGAAACATGAATTGAGTTATTTGTACACTGCGTGGATTGAAATGTGATTTTAAATAGTTTCTCCTTCACTCAAAATGTATCTTTGAAATTTTTTGTATTGACTGAATGGTACATGAATGAATACATGACACTGTTACGACACTGCATGCAAAGCATTTGCATTCAGACCAGGTTTCGATGACACTTGGGATATTTTCCATGACGTTTTGCTTACCTGGCTTCTTCGCGCAGAGGGACGGTGGGGTAGCCTTGAGGTTAAAGCTTTCGCTCGTCACGCCGAAGACTCCGGTTCGATTCCCCTCATGGGTAAAATGTGTGTTGCCCATTTCTGGTGTTTCCCGCCATGATATTACTGGAATATTGCTAAATGTGGCGTAAAACCAAACTCACTCACTCTTTGTGCACATATACGGGTGTTCCACAAGGTAGGAGTCAGGGTTCGAACAGAGACATCACAACCCCTGGGCAGTTGTCTCCATCTGGTTGGACAGCTGTTGTGCAGATCAGGTTTCCATGATCACCATCGCCGGCGGGATTCAGTTCAAGAAGGACTTTTTTCCTGTGGATTTACTTCTTGTGCATATCTTTCATTCATGGCATGCCGAGGCACGAGGCTTTGTCAATTATCTGTTTTGACATGTAGCATGTTCGTTTCAGAGAACACTGACTTGCCTTTGTGACGGGTGTCTGCCATCAGCTAGTATCATTACTGGATGTGATATTCATATGTAATATGCATTTTCATATACCAATACTCGTGCTATAGTCGGAATCATACAAGTGATTCTGTTTTGATATAGATCTCTAACGATCGTCGATTTTCTTTATCGCATAGCATTTGAAAGAACGGTGTTGAACAGACAATCTAGTAATAGCGATAAAGGAACGATGTTTGTATGCATGAAGAAACAGGAAGTTTTGCATTAATACAATTTACTCGTGTTAATCTAGATGTGTCTAAATTGTAAACAAACAAAAAAAGCACTAGCTTAGTGAAAGTGAAATGATATTGATACGTAAATAAAACCTATTCAAGACACAACGTTACACGACGGTTGAGCAGGTTTCAATGGTAAAACGCTCGTCGTATTTGTTCACAGCGTCATATAATGCATACTCCAGCAGTGAGCAACCTGCATTATGCAACGTGTCTACAGGTGAATACAGCAACACGTGTTGGTGCATGTAGAGATTTGCTGAGCCACTGCTGAATAAGACCATGATACAACGTCAATGCACACATTAGCATAGGTTATATCTGGGGCAGCTTTTCCGTTGAGCGTGAACCCAGCTTTTATTACCAAAGCACTGCATGTACTATGTATATCGAAGTGTTGGTGACTGATTCGTCTGAGTCGCCATAATTTGCTGTGTTTGTTCGCTGGTTTTTAAAGCCATACTCAGCAACATTCTAGTCGTATGATGGCCGCCCGTAAATAGTCGAGTCTGGACCAGACAATCCAGTGATTGACATCATTACCACCGACTTTCGCAAATGGGATATCATGACACGCAACAACAGAGTCACACCAAGCATGACCTCCTCATAGGCGGATCCAGAGGGGGGTGCAGCGGTGCGCAACCCCCCCCCCATCACCCCCATTTTGCCCTGTAGGTTTATTGAATGAATGACCATTGAAAATGAAGTGTGCACCCCGAAACCGAAACATGAGTCTCATTAACCTATTCAGACAATGACCTACTTTTCAGCCGATCCGAATTTTCTCGTGTGAAAGTGAAAAGAGACACTACAAACAACTATGGTTACACTGAATTCCATTCCCTTGTTTCATAAGAAAATGGTATTTACACATAAATTGTAATTTTAAAATTTAATAACATCGTATTTCTATATTTTATGGCGAGGTGTAGGCAGCATGAACTGAACTAAGACGTCACAGACTGCCCCTGTTTGATAAGGTCGTAAAATGATTCGCAATGCATCTGGCACACTGGTTACACTTGTTATGTATTTTTGGGCGCTTATTCAGTGTATTTCTGTACCGCACAATGTGGTTGATATAATATCAAGTCCGTACCAGACCGCCAACTTTTCTAGCGGGAGAGACTCGATTTGAGATTTGCACGATTTCCAGGTTTCCGTTTGTCAGAGCTCGCTGCACGACGTGTTTGCAAGGATTAGATGAGCGTAGTGTTACAATATACAAGTGCTTAGATGTATCAAAAAATACTGATTTATAATTATGCATCCAGTTAAATTCCCCAAATTCTGGACTGGTTATTGTACTAAGTTGCGCAATAGGACGGGACCCAGTCACAGGAAACGAGACTGTTGTGTAATCAATG